AGATCACTTACCAGCCGAGATATCTGCATACACCGACACGTCATGAGTTTTCCCATCTGTAGACACCACATCCACATGCAAATAGGCCATAGTCAAAGATTGTTGTTTCAAATCTTTCGGGTTAAGAGGTGACAAGAACGTAGCCGTCAAATTGATCTTTCCTCCTACGTCAAAAGTAAAAATACTCTTTGTGGAGGTATATTCAAAAGACGTCTGCTCTGCAGATTTGAGTAGAGTTTTATTGTCAGCTGCGTAAGGATATCCCATCCAAGTCAATGGTTCACCATCTACCCTTACAATTCCTGTCATTCCCGTGATCTGGTTGCTAGAAAATCTAGATTAGCCTAGCTGACTGGGCAACAATAGGCAGTTGAAGAAAAACTGTTATATCGAGGGATGGGCAAAAACTTACTGCCAGAATGTACTCCATCGCAAAGCCAGACTGTTGCCATTTTTATAATCAGTAGCATTAGTTCCAAAGATTTGCCAACTATTCAGATAAGGCGATTTGACCATCAAAGGAACAGCAGGCGGCCTCTCAGGCGTGAATGTCCCTTGAGCATAACCTTGTGTGATAGTTGTCGAGAGAACGGCTAAAAGAATGAAATTAACAGAAACCATCATTATGGCAGCATTAATACAAGAATAATGATACAAGTAAACGCTAGAAATGTATATTGAATTTTAGAGGGCCAGAGAAAAATATGAAATGCTTGGAGTGGTGAGTTTTAAATGATTGATGTATTGAGAATTCCTTCTTGATATCTAGCTACTGATAATCGCGAGCGATCCGCGAAACTAGCAATAAAATATCGATTCTCAGAAGGTAGCAGTAAGAAAGAACGAAGGACCCAACAAAAAGCCCACTAAAACTAAAGAGCCAAAAGAAGGAAGGAATGGCAGTGTAATGAGTGTAATGAATGTAATGACACACTTCTGTGCATCCAGTTGTAAAGGAAATTGAAACAACAATCGATTGGTATTTTTGTACTTATAATTCATCTGCCTTAGCAAACTCGGTCACTATACGTACGGACTCATTCCTAACATATACAGGAACTAATGGACCCCCATCTCCCACCAAGAAGAAGGGCCCTGCCCGCGAAGAAGATCGAATAAGCCTAGAAGCTGACCTTAGTGGGGAATATAAATGGCAATATGCTTCATTGCCTTCTCAAAAGGGCGGCTATTCTGAGCATGCCGGCCTGGGTACCTGGAATATATGGAATCAAATCCATGAATACCTTCTTAGGAACCGTGTAAATCGAAGCGCTGTACCAGGCTGGCACGGGTGGTTGAAGATCTGATTTGCGATCTTAGATCTGCGCTTGAGCTGAGACTCATGATGTCAAGAAGTGGTTGAAATGAACATCATGACCATGACATAATGAGCTGCTGGTGATTAACCTTAGCATTTCCCATCGAAAAATGGAAACGAAGCCAATCTTGGATCTGAGAAATGGAACACATATCTCATAGAAGCGGTCAACTCAATCAGGTATGCATAGCAAACTAAGCAAGCACATTCGAAGGAAGAAAGATTGGCGGTAATGGTGGTCAAGCACATCGGAAATTCGCTAACCTTATAAGAAGGATCTGGTGGGTCAAAGTCTTGGAAAGCATCATCCCATTTTCTCGCTTCTAATTGGCTAGCTAGCATTGCTAGGCTGCGCTGCCCACCTTCAATCTATTTTGATGCCAGACACAGCCATCGAAATGCCTTGCTATATATTGTACAGCCTCAAGACAGCTGGCAAATATGAATGCAGTTTTAATATCCAAAAGTGAGAGAATTATATCTGATTCACGAATTTAATCTCCACATCTTTTCTCCCTATCCATGAAATACAATACCTTAAGCTTAATGGACTCGAAAAAGACATACGGGAACATTTTTCTTCTAATTCACGCATAAAGTGTACATGGAGAATCAATTTTACTATCAATCAAGTCATGAATGTAAGATACAATGACTCTTGAAGTTCGAACGAAGGACTAGGGTTGGCGATTCGATCAATTTAGACTCAAATTTAAGACCATTCCTTTCGAGAATACCTAGTTCTTCTCCATTATGTGTAGCCCTGTAGCCCTGTAGCCTTCGTGATTATCTATCTTGAACTTTTTGTACTCGCTCCTATCATGCCATAGAAAGGACGTGAAGATAGCCATGCAGTATATCGTTGACACTGAACATATGGTTGTGTTGCATTTCGTATTGGAGAAGTGCAATCCCCTTCCGTAATATAAATCATCATAGTTGTTTCAGCCATTCAGCTGCTGCCTTCACAGAGTTGACTGCTTCCTTTTCGAATCCAGTAATATTTCCAACCAGCAAAATATCATGACTCGCAATTTCCTCACTATGAAAAGCAATCTCATTACCTTCTATGCCCTTCATTCCGTCTGAGAAGTCCTTGACTTGTTCAAGCAAAACCTCTTGCCCATTGCCTTGGATCCACATTGGTGTCTTTGTGTAGAATGGATGTTTTGCAGGACTGATCCATTCAGAGTCCATGCTGACTGGACCATCTTTGGGACAGTAGGAATTGGCTCCCCAGATCGCGAAATTGGCAGGAATGTAATCTGTAAATCTGTGTGGAGATTCATACAACACTTCTGGAGTAAGAGTCCTTGCAAGATCAATCCAGGGAGACCACAAAAGTGCCGCTGCAGGACCAGGTGCATCTGTAACAGCAAGATATCTCAACAATGCCGCAACGATATTGCCACCTGCCGAATCTCCACCGACGATAATGTTGGAGTATTCAATCCCTAGATCTCGGAGATAGTGGAGAGCTGTGACAGCGTCTTGAAGCGCGGCAGGAAAGCGACCGTCAGGGTTCGAAGAAAGTCGATAAGAAACCATCAACGTCTTTCCGATATGTTGAGTCAGAAGATCGGCCGCATACCCAGATTTTTTAGGCCGACAGTCACCAGTGACAAAAGCTCCACCATGAAAATGAAGTACAACCTTCTTGGTTTTATCCTCATCGGCGTTGTAAGGCGAGGGATACCAATAGCCACAAATCGTTGCAGGTTTGATTTCCTTATCATCACAGATTCCCTTGTAAACTCCTGGTATGGAAGATGGCTTGATTGGAACAAGAAACCCTTCTTCTTTACCCTCTGCCTTTATAACCAAAGGCGTGGAGACCTGTACCATAGATGAATGCCAAACAGCAGTTTTCAGAGCGACAGCGGCTACGGCTTGCTTGAAGCTCCATTTTGGATGCTGTCGATTCGATGAGAATGAATAATAAAAGAGCCAGATGGGCAACTTGACAGCGTTCAATGTGATGGCACCTAGAGCCCAGATTCCCTTAAATGGATGACGCGTGATCAAGTCGGAGGCCATAGCTTGCTTTAAGGTTACAAGAGATGGATTCAAATACAACTTTCCGACAAGAGAAAAGGGAAGTCGGTTTGATTTATTCTTTTGACAGGAACTTCAATCACGTAATGCCTTGGGGTTGCTAATTTTTGGCTAGCTGTTGGCTTGTGTATCCATGGATGTGTTGGTGAGTATAATCAACAGTCGGACGTTCGGTTAAGGTTACATGATCAAATTGACTACATATTGAACTAGTGAACGGACTTCATTGGCAGTGCAGTGAGACTTGATCTGACTAGAAGTAAATCATCTATTTAGCTCAACAAGTGCAAAGAAATTTCTGAACAATGATTCCCTTCGTGTGAAAAAAAGGGTTATCCTGCACAGGTATCTCTGTATCCATAAACCATTTCTCCATTAGTAAGTTGAGCTGGTGCTCAGGTTCCTATACTTCTTCTAGTCATTTCACAAAGTCGCTTTCATGGCTTGTAATATATTTACAGAGATTCAATATAGCTTCAAAAGATACATGTGTCACTTCCACCTAGGAATATCCACAGAACACAATCATCAAGTAATTTCTACTTCTTGAGTCCTCCCCTTTGAAGATATGAGATAACTCGTTTCTCAATCCAAGAGAGTACACATCATTTACCTAGTATTATCTCATTTTAACGTCCTCTACCTATCACCCTTCCTCTTCCCCTTCCTCTTCCTCGTCTTCCTTCTCTTCCCCTCTCTCCTCCCCTATCCTTTCCCCCCTAAAGTCTACAAACAACCTCACTCCCACTTCCAAATATCTTCCCTACTCAGCCTAGCTGAAACTTCACTATTCCCTGTTCCCCGCAAACAAAATCCCAATCCCAACTCCCATCTCCCATCTTCCATCCTCAATCCAACAACTCACACTCATCTCCATGAGCCCCTATCCACAATCACCACCCAATGCACCGGCTCAAAAGCATATGCCATACCCCGTAGTCTATGCACCAGCCTGCAATTACACGTCACTCGCATACCAAAAGTAAATAACTGAGAGCAAATCGAAATGAATTCCTAGGCTCTCAAGTATGGTTACCTAGGCACCTACTCGTAATACTCAAACCTATCTCATAACTCTTCCTACCACTCTAAGCTCCATAGTAGATTCACAAGAATCCTCGTCAATAATCCTATTAATCACTAGTCATGTCTAAGCCTGACGTGCAAAGTATCGAGAAGAAGATCCAAGATCCAAGATCAAAGTGAATAAATAAAACATCCTCCTCGCCTAGGTGAATGTAAGCACAGAGAACTTGTTCCAAGCATGTAAACACCCGTCGAATTTCTCCCACGTTGCTAGAATACTCCACTTGTACCCCGATTCCATACTTCCACACTTCATCTGCACAGCTGAATACAGCACACCAGTCACATATCATCAATCACATTATCTCAAAATAGGAATTCATAACTGATTTAATTGACTCCCAACACCCGATGTAAAGCGCTTAGCTTAGTTCAACCTGGTTCAGCAACGCGAGCAAATCTTGAAAATAAAAATTAATCATGAAAATGTAAGAAGAGTGAATCAATGTTCGGGAATATTCCCCATAAATTCATTTATCCGTGATATCGACACTTTGCCCCCCCAAAGAAAAGTTTAAAAAGCAAGAAAATTCCCAAAAATCTAGCTTAACAATTGTTCAATGGCTCCCTGGACACTTCCTCCACTTCTTCTTAGAGCTGCAACATTTCTGTCAAAGTCGAAGAATCCCATATCATTTAACTGCCTGAGCTGATCGGCGTACACTTCTTCAGGTGGTCTGGTATCTGCTGGAGCTGCAGGTGCACTTGGGGCGGCAGCACCCATTCCGCCCATACCGCCAAATCCACCAGCGCGAAACATATCTCTGAATGTTCCATTTTGCATCATTTGCATTGCTTCTTGGAATTGTTCCGGTGTGAGTTGTGGCATTCCTTGATAGGGGTTAAACCCCGGAGCATTAGCCGCTTCCCCAAACAGCGAGGCAAAGGGATTCGGCGGATTAGCATCAGTTCCAGTTGATGGGGTTCCCCCGGCAGAAGCGGGAGGTGGGGGAGTTTGTGCTGGAGTATGACCCGCGGCTGCTGCTCCTGGTCCACCGAACAATGATGCGAATGGATTATTAGCACCTCCTGCAGCAGGCATTCCAAACATATTGAAAGGTGGTACACTGGGTTGACCACTTCCGGGTGTGCTCCCTGCTGCACCAGCGGGTGTAGTGTCAGTGACGCCTGGCGCAGGAAAGCCGCCAGCCCCTCCACCTCCCATTTGTCTTCTCATCGCAGCAGCTTGTCGAATGGAGTTCGGATCCGTAAGCATGTTTCTGAACATAGGTGATTGTAATATCTCGCGCGCGTTGGGTATATCTCTGAGCATTGGAGTATTTTGGATCATCATATTGACAAGGTCCGGGTTGTTAAGAGCTTCGTTCATCGTTTGACGAACATTGGGATCATCCATCATTTGAGCGAGCGCATCTTCACTTGGTGGCGCACCCATCTGCGAAAATGTTAGTTTAGAAAGATTGCTCCCAGAAATGGGCATACGTACACCACCGTCTGCGCCGAACATTTCAGCACCTGGAAGACCCATGTGGCCTGCATATCGAGCACCTGTCAAACCAGCAAGAGGATTATTCGCGGTTCCGGCAGCCATGTTCGTTGGGAGACTTGCTGCAGCGCCAGTTGCGGCATTGGCAGCAGCATTGGCAACGTTGCTTTGTGCGCTCTTGACCATATGTATCGTATTGTTAGGCTTAATCTTATAAGTGCTCAAAGGTTCCTCATTCTTCATAACGCGACCGGAGTAGATTAATCGTTGACGATCTACTGGAATCTTTTCGTAATCATCTCCAGCTAGCTTTGTCTTTAGGTCGAGAACTGTTGCGGTCTCTGCCATGGTGATTGTGTGATTTCCATCAGAGGATGTCTTGACCTTGAAGGTGATCTGAGAATCGCCCTCGGGCGCAGTTGGTGTCTCGTCTGACATTTTAGTATTTTGGATGGATTTATGAGTTGACTGGTGGAGATTGAATTGGATCTAGATATCTGAAAGAGTCAGGTAGGTATGGTTGGGGGTTGTTTGTTGGATTGATAGTTGAGGTGGTTTGATGTGTGTGTTAGGTAGGTAATCGTAACTATCCATATATCATAGGCAAATATTAAGTGAGGCGTTGAGGGGTGTGGCTATGGCTCAGATGACGTTCGACGGTTCAAAGATGGCTGTCACTACTAGGTAGGAAATTTCGAGAGGAACCTTGGAAGGATAATTGGGAGAACGAGAAGGGTGAATGAGGAATAGAGAAATGTGGTAATAAATTAATTTCCCTTAAAAATCGATAGACTCAAACGGTTTCATCTACAATACAATTCATTATTAATTATTAGCTCTACACCTGGGCATCGTATAGAAGTTCGTATATATACCCTCACACGCCTAGGTAGGTGTGTTGTGTGACTGGTGACTGACTGATGACTGATGACAATATCTTCCATGGAAATCTTTTGGCTTCTGACTACTATCTGGGTAATGGATATCAAAGTCAAAGTAATTTCCAGGGCCATAATAAGGCACAGTCATGCAAGGGCCGGCCCAGCGCGAGATCTAAGTACCAGTGTCGAGTAGGTAGAGTTCCGCCTAACCCCTTTCCTTTATCGAGCAGAACACCAGGAAAGTACATCAGATCACGAAGAGAAGCTAAATCAAACAACCACGTATCTATTTATTATTAGTAATATCTTTCTTCGCAGATTCTGCACAGTGTTGCCTCTGTTTGGACTTTAAACTTAATATCCCGCATTCATCGCCAGTGAGGTCTGCTTCTCGTTGAATTCAACATCTGGACTCTCGGTGATGTGAGCTAGAAACATAATTTGGCATGAAGCCAAGTGCACCCACCGGCCAGGTAAGATAAGAGATGCTGAGCTCGGAGATTCACTTATAATATTCATGCAATGGCAGCAGATAATTGAAATCTGCCTTCTCAATACTACCGGTACGACCGGGCAGGAAGCAACCTTCTTGATAGACTTTCAACTAGGCCAGGTAAGGTACCGACCGAGCCATTGATCTTTAGTTGGACCTCGGCTCGGTCCCCGCGTTTATAGAATCCGGGGATCCTTCAATTTCATAGCTTACCCACTTCAAGACTCCTCTTACTCTTACATACAAGTCACTCCTCTCTCTCCTTCGACCTGTTGTTTTATATTATATTCACTCAATTCAAGAAACAACTCATTTCGAACAAACAAAACCATATCTATAACCTCTAAAACAACCTACAAGATGCGTGGAATTCAGATCAAAGAATATGTCAAAGTAAGCTTTCAGAGAGAGCCCCCAAGCTTTCATCTCCTGTCTCCTTCGATATTCATGTATATCTATGTAGTATACTAACCAATGGTTACAACACAGGGACCTCAAGATCTTAAAGTCACGGATTTGCCTGATCCAGTACCAAACCCCGATCAATACTTGATTGAAATTCATGCCACCGCTACCAATTTCTACGACCTGCTCCAAATTCGCGGGAAATATCAACACCAACCTCCTCTACCTTGTAAGACATTTCTTCTATCTGCCCATTGGCAAAAGATTTAGAATCCATAACTACTTGTTCTATCCAATCTCCTATTTCAACCCTCCAACCATTCACTAACCCCCAACCTAGGGATTTCCGGCTCAGAATTCAGCGGCACCATTCTTTCCACACCCTCCTCTTCCTCATCTCCTAAATACAAACCCGGCGACCGCGTCTTCGGCGCCTCTCAAGGTGGCTATGCAACTCTTGTCTGCGCCCAAGAAGCTTCTCTCTACCCCGTCCCCGACTCCTGGTCTTTCTTCGAAGCAGCCGGTCTCTTCGTCACCGCTCCCACATCCTACGGTGCCCTCGTCACACGCGCGAATATAAAATCTGGAGACTATGTCCTTATTCACGCTGCAGCCGGTGGAGTCGGTCTTGCAGCCGTGCAGATTGCAAAGGCATTTGGCGCAACTGTTATAGCTACCGCTGGCACGAAGCGAAAGTTGGAGGTAGCGCGAGAATTTGGCGCTGATCATGTTATTGATTACGGCGATGCTTCTTGGCCCGATCAAGTCAAGAAACTAACACCAAACAACAGAGGTGTAGATATCGTATTCGATCCAGTGGGTCTAATCGACAAATCGACAAAATGCATACGCTGGAACGGACGACTCCTTGTTATCGGATTCGCAGCCGGAAATATCGAGAAAGTGGCGATGAATAAGGTTTTGTTGAAGAATATAAGTATAGTGGGATTACACTGGGGAGCATATGTGCAGAACGAACCGGAAAAGATCCAAGAGGTATGGGAGGGTATTTTCAAATTGATCAAAGAGGGAAAATTTAGAGGAACCGTCTTTAGGGATAGGGAGTTTGTGGGGCTGGAGGATGTTCCAGGAGCATTGGAGAGTTTAGGGGGGAGGGGGACATGGGGAAAGGTTGTTGTGAAGGTTGAGAAGAATGGAAAAGAGGGGAGGAGTAAGATTTAGACGAGGGAAGGGAAGAAGAACAGGTGGTTGGATTGCAGATGAATAGGGGAGATATGCTATTAGCGAGGATCTAAGGGACCGTAGTGCACCTTTGTATGTGTGTTATACAGACCGAACTAGACTACATGACCGACTGCATTACTAAAGAGATATGGGATGGGTTATTGGAAGTTGTCTTGATAGAGAAGAAGATACTTCAAATGAATTCCGGGCACATAGATTGAAGAGTTACAGTATCAGCTCACAGAATTTAGAGTATGCAAAACAACTAATCCAAGATTTTTAGGACAATTGCAACGAGCTCATGTCGGATGACGGTTCATACACACATCCTCACATCCCATCACTATTACATCACACGCTGCAAGAGCAGCTAAAAAATTGTCTGTCATAGATAGTAATATTCTCAATTATTCATTCAAAAGTTCGCTATCTACAGCCATCCATCCAGTCATCCATCATATCAATAAATACCTAGTAGAAACAAATGAATCATATCGTATCCCAAAAAAATCCGCGCCTGCTCCCAGTTTCCATTCCCATTCATAATATCCCAGAATAATTCGCGAGAATTTTAATATCTCTTCGACTAACATCCACCCATTCTTCCTAACGATCCCCATGGAATCTCTAGAAATGTTCTTTCCAAAACGAGAAATTGACATCGCGAGTCGTCGCATTCTTACATGCTTTTTTGATGGAGCGGGCTGCTACGTTTGGTCCTATTCAGAATGTTAGTATCCATGTTCAAATTAAGAATGTATCGGAAAGGGTATAAGAGGAAAAATGAAACAAAACCACAACAGCACAAAACATACCACAAAAGTAAACTCCAATATTAGTTTTAAAATCTCCCTCCAAACCAGACATATATGTTTTATCCATGATTCCATCCCTCATTCCCTCGAACAATTTTGTAAAATCCGGTCTACCGAAATTCGTCCTCGATTTCAATTCAGTCAATGGATCGACATCCGCACCAACACTATTCAATACGATATTTTGCGCCGTATCGATATCCAATTTTTGGGTCAAGTAAGTATGGATACGTAAAAATTCTTGTCCATCATTACCGGGTTGTGATGCTGCTTCTTGAGATTGTGCTTCCAAAGATGAAAGAAGGACTTGGAACCATTCGAAGGATGTAGTATCTTTACAAACCCAGATAAATTCTACTCGACGAAGACGTTCGGGAGGATTTGTTCCGTGACGAAGATGCCAAATGTTTTTGAGGATGGATGCCCATGGCGTTACACCGATACCAGTGCCGATGAGGACTGCGACTTCATTCTCGAAGACATCTTCGGCGGGAGCACCGTAGGGACCATCTATGCGGATGTCGGGCATTTTTTGACCGTTTTCAAGGGCAACTTCGTACATACCATTGGGATCCACACCGTCGTAGAGCTTGGCTTGTGCAGCACCAGCTCCGAGGGCGTCTCCGAGGGTTCGAGTGAAGTCACCGACTTGACGGATGTGAATAGAGATGTAGGGGTCGAATGGACATGATGTGATGGTGAATGGATGCCACTGTTCACGGGAAACAGATGGGACATTGAGGAAAAGCCATTGGCCTGCCTTGTACTTCATCGATGGCTTTCTGAATTGAATTTCCATGGCATCTGTAATTTGTTAGTTTTGAATGACGATGGTTAGGATGTAACATACCATATGGATGACGAACGACTCTAACAATTTGAGTTTCTCTTCTACTTCTGATTTCGCGATACACACGCTCAAGGAAGTAAAGTCCACCACCCCAAAGCTCCCAACGCCATCCTTCATAACCTAAGCAATGTCCCCAGAAGTTCTCGCCATCAAATGGAGAGAATGGGTCTGCGGTATCACGAACGAAACATCCCGTAGCGTGTGTGTACATTCCAAGCAAGAATGGAATAAACAAATGATGCGTGTACCAAAATGTTTCAAAAGATTGTTGTCTAATCTTAGCATGCGCGGTGGTATACATCAGCATCATGCATAGTAACATGATATGACCTGTGATACCGCCAGCTTCGGTATAGTGAATCTGAATTGCAGTCACAGGTCTGATTTGAGTTTTTTCGACGTTGAAGAAACTAGCTGAATGTTAGTATTTGAGTAAAAATGGGACTTTGCAGCACTTACTTCACATAGTGAGCAGCTACATGAAATATGGTCCAGAATAATAACGAGTATGCTACTTGTCGATGAAACCATTGAGACTCATCAAGTGGTAAGAATTTGACCTTTGGTCTAATGTATCTCAAGATATTGCGGCACATGGGCAATAAGATCAATGCAACATCTACAGACAACACCAGACCGGCACCTCTCGATATCCATACTGAGAATGTAAGAGAGTTCAAACCCGCGAGTCTAGGGTCACTGGCTTGCTTCCACCTGTATAACTTATTAGCAGGAAATAAAAGATATGTTGAAAGGCGACTCACCATCCAAAAGCAAACAGGCCAATGTGAAAGCCATGGAAGAGGAAA